GCAGAGCAACTTGAGGGTCAGCATCTTGCACAAGAATACTTTGGCATGCAGACTAGAACAGCCAGTCAATCAACCTTCCGATTAATAGACAACCTGCTCTACCTACTGAGCTATGGCCACCATGGATGGATGAATGGACGGGTCAGCTGATGGGCCAAAGCCAACACTACATAATGATACTACATGGGAATATCAGATAATAATCAGATTAGAATTTTAGATTATGAGCTATATGCTAACATTAAGGATTTTCCTGTTATTGGGAAGACATTTACACCCGCGCTGGGATGGACTTCAACTTTTGGACCTCTCCATACCTGTGTGTGCATGATCAAATGTGCTATAGAATGAGCACAATAACTAAATATGGAGCAAATTGCTAGCGTACTTTTGTTAAAAGGTTACTAAATTGGTTGTTAAATTCAGCTGCTTCCAGAATCTGTGATGCTACAAAACAGGAGTGGAAAACCTTAAAGGTGCCTTTTATACAAAGGTTGGCAAAAAATGCCTGGAGCCTTATAACTACGTGCAACCTTACAGACATGATAAACTACAGTTTTTAACAACTAGTGCCGCGATGAGACTGTTGTGTGCCATAATTGTTGAGTTGTTGGTCTTCCTAGAGGTGCTAGAAGGATTGATTTTGCTGCTTCTGGACAGCGCCAGGATGTAGAGTTCCCTGTTTTTAGTCTTAATTTTAAACTAAGCTTAATGTAAAGTGCATTTACATGACACAACAAGCCAAAAGCAAAAGCAAATACAATATTGAATAAACTTGTACAACATGTGCTCCAAGTGAGTAGAGAGGAATAATAATATTTTTGGAGCAATCACCTTGCCCGTAGGTGGAGGAGGTGGAATAACTACTCATTCTCTGTCACTAGCTCTATTAGAAGCACTCAAGAAAGCCAGTGGGCCCACTTAGCGGTGCAATAAATACTCTGAGAGCTGAGGGACAGTGAGGAGAGAGAGAGCGAGAGAGGGGGAAATGAGTGAGACATAAGGGAGAGCTGCTAAAGAGATGAGAAAGAATACAAAGATTGGTTGTTAGAAGTCAGAACGGGGGAAACAGGGCGAGAGCAGAAGGAAGAAACTGTTATGAAATTAAAAGATTTAAGTAAAAATATTCAGAGTGACAGAAGAAAAAAAGCAAGTAAATCTCTAGAGATACTCTCAAGTAGATTACTCTTAAAGAGACCCCAGTTGTAACACATATTTAATCTTTCCCCTCCCCTTTCCTCTTCCTTATTCTTCTGTGAGATGGGAATAGGTCACGGTGCCAGCAGCTGGTTTTGCAAACAACGGGGCGACATGGCTGACGTAGCTCAGAGGATTGTTTCCTCCCATTTCTGTTTTGTCTGGACAAGCATTCGCATGAATTATGACCCAGCCACTAGCAGGACACAGCAAACATATGCTAGCTGATTGTCTCATAAATTCACGCCGCACCTCACTGCCCACCATCCATTGTGCCGTCTGTAGTCAAGTAACAACAACAAAGAGCCCTTCCTGCCAGGCCTGTTTCAGGTCCTTGTGGTGATGACCAACAAAAGACGAGTATAATGTGATTTGTTATTGTGATATTTGCTGCAATTAAAGCTGTTGTTGGAGATTTAGATCCATGTTGGTGAGGGGTTTAAGCTGGTTTAGTCACTGGAAATTTACTCAGATTCAATTCAGAGAAAAACGGATTGGCAAGTCCATTTAAAAATAAAATAAAATTTTGGAGTTACAAAGCAGGCAACAACCCTCTGTTAAATCTAAACAAGAGGTACAACACAAGCAAACACAACAAACTCTTCTGAAACCCTCCACTTTACCTTACATGAAAAAAAATGTAACTACACCTCACAACGACACAACTTTGGTTACAAAACTGCAGAGCAAGGCAGGCAGAAGCATGACACCTAGTTTATGCTCGCTGTTGTTACCCTGTATACAGCTTTAAAAGACTTTCTAGGGAAAACTTGTCTCCCAACTTTTACTCCTGCACCAGAGCTGGTGCAGAGCTTTCTTCTGAATGGTAACACCTTCATTTTAAGACTGCAGCAAGTCCAGTGCCTCAAGCACCAGCATATATGGATACGGTGCTGTAGTAATGTCACGTTTGGTGTGACATTACCAGTGCAGAGACCATAAACTAGATTTTAATGTTGTAGGTAAGTATACATTAGCACTCCAGGGCAAAGGTTTAAGAAATACTAGTCAGAGCAAATTTGGTTGAAGTCTAGTTAGTGAAAAATGAAAAATGGCAGATGCCTTGATGTGTAAATAGATGTGCGTAATAAAGTTGTTCCATAATACAGGGTGGGCCATGTCGAAGAGGTTAACACGTGAGGAGCGGATTGAAATTGTGTTGATATCTGGTGAACGCAGTAACCGGGTCATTGCAGCAGATTTCAATGCAAGACACCCTACGAGACCACCGATCTCCCATGCTACAGTCAGCAAACTGCTTGCTAAGTTTCATGAAACTGGTTTAGAGTTGGATTTGCCAACTAGTCTGTCACTAATGAAGAAACATCAGTGGCTGTCCTAGCTTCATTCAGCAAGAGCCCACAGCGTAGCACTTGCCGCACGTCACTGCAGAGTGGCATTAGTGAAACATCCCATCGGCAGATATTAGCTACTCACAAATGGCACCCTTACAAACTCCAGCTACTGCAGCATCTCAACGAG